CCCAAATTGCTCTCTATTATAAGTTACAGGGGCAGTGACACAAAGTCCCTTATTTGGGATATGTGAATTGTTCCCCAGCTAGAATTGAACTATGGGTCATAGGTTAGCCCTACCCTGCCTTAGCCCACTGGACTATATCTTTTTTATTTATATCTTTTAATTTTGTTAAATAAAGATTTAAATTTGATTTAATTGAAAATTTAATTTGTTTGTTTTTTTTGTTTACTATAAATTACTCTTGTTTTATAGTTTGTTTTTAATTAGATTTAATTTTGGATAATATTTTCTTATTATTATTATCTATCTTAATAGAATTATTTAATTATAATATTTATATTGCTTTTTATTTTTTAGCTTTGCCTTATGAAATTCTATAGTGTTTATTATTTTAATTGTTTTTTAATTAATTATTTTTTTTTTATTTTTTATTTTATAATTTTTTTTAAATTGTTATTGTTAAAGTGTTTCTATTATATATTTGATTTGTTATATTTTTAAGTAGAATATTTTAATTTATTAAATTTAATATGTTTTGTGTTATATTTTTTGTTAAATTTGTATTAAAAGTATTATAAATTTTTTAATATATAATTAGATCCTAAATAACTTTTAGATCTTTGTTATTATTTAATATACTGTATATATTGTATATATATTTTCATGTTTGTTATATCTTAAATACAGTATATAGAAAAAAGTAAATAATAATTTATTATAAATTTATTATTTTAAATATAATTATAAAAATTTATTTATTTATTTTTTTTTTCCTCTAATCAAATTGCTAGTAATGCATTTATTAATCCTTTTTGAAAAACAGTAATACAATATACTGTATATTATGATACTATATTAAAGATAAACTTTTTCTAACATAGCAGAATACCTGTTGACAAGTTATTTTATGGATTTGTATGTGATCCTTGAATCCTTAATATCAAGACCATCATGTTGCCCATATAATCTAGTTATTTACTAACTATTTTATTACAAGAGAGTAGGTTTATTAAGCTATTACTGTGTAACATTAACTATCTTAGACTTTTCAAATCCTAACTTTCTAGGTATGATTGTGGAAAATGAAAAAGTTGCTCTTTCCTAGAATTAGATATCTATGATCTTCACTCCAAGAGATTAATGTTAGCCTACATTCACAGATTATCACTTTAACACAACCTTGTGATTCTAAGAGATAAAAAATTTTTATTTTTTTAAGAAATAAAAGGAAGATAAAAGGGAAAGGAAAAGTTTGTACTGGTAAATAAAAACTTATTTAAACCAATCACCAGCCTAATGAGAGCCTTCTTTAATCTTAAAGAGAAAAGAAACTGATATAAGAGGAGAGAGGGAGGACTTCAAACCACTTCTTATCAAAAGAACATCTCGACACCTTGCTTTTTCGTCATATCCAATTATATTATTGGTTTTAATGTAATATGACATAAAACACATGAGAAGTATGTATCTTGTTTACATTTCTTTTACTTGTTAATCAACCAATCCAAGATTTCAACCAATTACCATCCAAAGTTTTCAGTATAACAAAAAATTCAGAGTCAAATTGAGGTAGGCAAAATTCTTTAGAAAAATTAAGAAAAATTGAATATGCTCGAAAGTACTATTTATAAATATGTATAAATGGTAAAAAGATTCATACACCTGAACAATAGATTCCTAACAGCTTATTCACCTACTCAGACCAAAGGAGTTATTTATAATGAATCCAAGGTTCCTATGTTACTTGGAAATGTATTCATTGATAGATCCAACTAGCTTATTTATTTGCCTTGGACAAAAGATATTCGCTTATGATGAATCCAAGGTTCTTATGGATCTTGAAAAATATATTCACTAGTGGTTTACTTTCTGAAGTTCCTAATCTAAGGAGAAAGTAGTAAAGTATATTTTTTTACAAGTTTTTTCTTCTCAGTGAGATGTTCTTACTGTAAACCAAATGGGTAAAGTTTTATATATTTTGTTATTGAAATATGTAAAGTTTTTAGAAAAAGGAAAGATAGACAAGTAGGAGAGATACCAACTTTCAGGAAATAATGTTTTTAAAAAGAATATATAGACTTTATTATTAAAAATAAAGAAATATTTTTGAGAACATTTGTTTTTGGATTGGCAAGGGGATCAGCCATAATTATAAGAATTTATTTTTTATTGTAATTACAATATATTATATATTATAATACGTATTAAAAAAATTTTTTTTTTTTATATATTATTTTAATTATAAATATTAATTTTTTAATAAAAATCAAATAAATTTATTTATTACTGTATATATACCATAAATACAGTATAATAACAAATATTAAGAAAATCAGTTGTTTTCATATTATTATTATTATTATTATTATTATTATTATTATAATATTTTGTTTAATTTTGAATTAAAAAATGCATTATTTTAATATACAGTATTGCGTATTAATTAATTAATTGATCATGTGTATCATTATCTCATGTTGTACTAATAAGAAGACCGAAATTAGCAAGACTTTCCCAGGCCAATTATCGAAATCTTGCATAAACAGCAAAGTGGTGTTCTGCATTTACATAATTCAACATGAGATGCATTACTGTTCTTGACCAAACTATGACATATACGCTCATGCGTTGACACGGGTAACATTGAAAGTCGAATGATATGTTATATGTATGTCTAAAGATGGAGAATATACGCAATTATGAAGAGTTACACGTCGCATCTGTGGAATCCCCAAAATTTGTAAAAGGGGTTTTTTATAGGAATATACAGTATTACGCACGATAATGTAACGATTAGTTTTACAAGAATTTTCCTAATCATAAAGGAGCCAGTGAAATTGGTAAACGTTATTGCATGATCAGTCCAGAGAATTTCTTAAAACGATTTACCAATCCCCATAATCTGATAAACCGCTATTGCCTGGTTTGTCTAGAATACGAATGAAACAATATGATTTGACTATATAAGTTTATCACAAATGGTGCCATTCATATTCACACCACACACATAAATTTCACACGATGATTTAAAGACAAACCACCCGAAAAGATGTTCACATTCAGTGAATTTAATTAGCAATTACATACTTTTCACACATTCGATATACTTTACATATAAACGTACATTATATCTTCTTTACCACCATCAAAAAATATTCACGCATTCTCAAAAACAAGATGCCAGTTTTCTCAACACTCGCAATGGCTACGACAATGTGTTTGGTCTCTGGATCGTTAATATGGATCAACAGCTTGCTTGATAATGTAATAGAGGTAACTTTAAAGAATTCATTCCATAATTTGGTCTTGGTCTTTTAAAGAGTTTTCGTAGACCTTCCTGTGTTCATTGTTTACTCGATCTTACTCTTTACTATTTTTCGCATCCTAAAAGATTAATAAAAATCTGCGTATAAGTTCTTCGTACTTATTCAATAAACAAGGATTCATAGGACCATTTTTTGCCTTTGAGAATTTTTCTCAACTATCCTTCAAGAAATATGATAAGGGGAGAGAAATGAAAAAAAATGATGGCGAGTATGGAAGCTGTGACCAATATTCATCTGTGATCGTCAGGAGGTTAAAAAGTAAGTATAGCATATGAAATAAATTACGCGAACTGCCTGATGAAATTTTTTTCTCCTTGCTAATTTATGTCACGTGAACAACAAATTAATAGATGCTTTAGTAAAAGAAGTAAGAATGCTGAATACGATGCCCGTGGATCATTCAGTTGAGAACGAAGTAGTGAAAATTTCTTCGGCTTCTTTATCAAAATCTCACTCGAGTTCTTATTCAACTTCCACCGAGTTCTACCGGTTACACGTAAACCCAGTAAAATCGTATTCGGATGTCTATAGACATTCGCACAAATCTTCGTTTTCTGCCGTCATTTCGTCACACGTTCCAAGATTTAAATATTCCGATCTACATTTACTTAAATATTGTCAACATCGATTCGGAAATCTTTACAACTCTGATACAGGGAAGGTGTTGGCAATGTGGGGTATGATTATTATGATAATAATTGGATGCGTTACGGTGGCGTAAGAAAGTGAGTGTAATGCAAAGGGATATGTGAAACGATGAGTATAATGTAGATAATGTAAATGAGGTAATGTATTAAATGTATTAAACGTGAGCCATTAACAAATATTATCTTAATTGTAAATATAAGCAACAAAGGGAAAAAATCCAATATTATTTTTTGTATGTAATGTGTTGCTGCATAATAGAATTTTTTTTTCTTGTCATCAAACTATTCATCCTCATTAGAGGGGGTTAAAAATGTCTTTGGAACCAATTCGATAATAAGATATTAATATTTTTAATATACTGTATAATGATACTGTATAATATAATGTGAGTATTTCTTAGTAATTTAAAAAATGTTAATCGAATATTTTTATAGTAATATTAGTTAGTATATACATATAGTATATCATATATAATTAATCATGAAAAACTTATTAAAGTATTTAATGACTTTAAAATAAATTCCTGTAATTAATATGGTCAAATAATTTTTTTTAAAAAAACCACATATACAGAATATATTTGAGTTTAAATAATAATATTTTAATTTTCATTGATTTTTATTCGCATTAAAAAATTTTTTTCTTAATTATCTTCATTACTAATTTATTCACTAATTGAATGCGACACCTGACATATCCGTAAGCCTATTCGTCGTAACGTTTACATTATCACGTGACACATCGCGCTCTTGTGGTTACAATCGAATTGATAAGAAAATTGTGCTTATTCATTCTTTTGCCTCATATACAAAAAATGGCATCGATAAGTCAAATTTTATAATGCATAAAAAACAAATTTATTCGTACCTTGAAGGATCTCTATCAACCGCGTGTTACGGACCAATCAAGATTACTTAAACTATAACATGCAGATTACGCGACACGACTTCAATGATAAGGTTGACAATGAATTCTCTTTAAAATTATAAAATTAGTGTTATGGTTCAAGACCATTATAAAATGAAAATATTCTACTATGTTAAACTCATTGCATCACGGTTTTGATCTTTCTCCAGACTTATCTGTACGAGATCTTTTAAAAAGTCATCTATAATACATGTTTAAAAAATAACATTGGCCTGTCAATATAATGTTATATACATCCATAGAACCGAATTATTCATTATTAAGAAATCACATAAACTAACATGGTTTTGAGTTTTCTTGAATGGGGTTCCTTTCCTTCACATAGGTTGAACGACACGACACATAGTTATTGTTCTGTAAATGGCAATTACGGTACACGACATCTTTTATGTTCCAGAAAAAACGCGATAAGTGTACGACCATCTAGTATGGCAAGGATCTTTTTATTCGCATAGAAAATTTCAATTTCATATTCTAACATTGCAATCATAACAATGAAATATGCGGTTGACTAATATCTATCCCAATTTTGATTTTTCTATGCATTGAATGGTGAAGATAGCTTTACAAGAACATCTCTCTTTAAAAAATGATTCTTTCAACAACGGAGTTATCAAATGGTATCTTTTTTTTGTGCCTCATTTCGTTAGAATTAGGACAGAGCAAATGATCATTTATCATATGGATTACTAATAAAGCATGTGTGCGAGAGTTGGGATATTATTATTATGCTCATATTAAGAAAAGGATCTAAACCATAAAATTGTTTGGAAAATCATTGTATCAAGAGATTTTCGAGTAGACTATAAATGAGTATTGAGTGATTTCGAAGAAAGAGAGGTCACAAAACTAGGTCCATGCCCTTTTTTTTTTTTTAGCGGTAAAATCTCGGAAAATCGGGATGTTCACTACTGCAAGAACATGCTGAAGCATCCATTCAAACAATTCTTCCTGCACCATCACTTGATCAAGAATTTATGAAGTCAAATCTTTCTTAATTAAGCGTGGTCTAATATGATTATATTCGGAAAATTTTATTAGTTCACAAAAAAAATGAATCTTTGTCTTGGAAGAGGGTACACGATAGCAATATGCTAACTTGATTTATCAAAAATTTAGATGAAAATATTTTATTTAATTAGGTATGTAGAATTATTAAATATTTATCTTTGATTAGCGTTTTACAGCATTTTAATCACAATACTGCGCATTACACTATTTCAATAGAGAATTAAAAAAAAAAAGAACTCTACTAAACTTATATAATAAAAGCTTTACGTAATAATATCTGCTATCCATTATATCCTTATTTTTCTTTGTTACATGGTTTCTTCTTTTAGGCATGGAATCAATCGATCGATTGCAATTATTTCCGATTCTATTTCATATAGTTTTATAATCAATTTATTATTTTTCTATTAGATAATCGATTTTTTTATATACACAGTACACAGTACAACTTTCAAGAAAAATTTTCGTATTATAAAATTAAATTATAACTAGGAAATGGAAACCATTGTAAGTCCGAAGTTAATAATGTCACATGTTAAAATAAATCACGCCTGCGGACAGACAGACGTGTCCGGTTTGGTTTAGAATGGTAGTCCGGGCTAACGCTTCGAACAATAAATAAATAAATTTATTTATTTATTGATTTAATCAGATAGTATATTTTTGTTTAATCTATATACTGTATGATGTTTATAAGAAAAAGATGTAATAATCAATAAATAAAATCAAAAATGCTAACCTATCGTTAAATACATTATGCTAAATAATAGTTTTCAAGCAATCTCGATACTTTTAATATTTCTGTCATTTATTTGAAAGAATTCAAAAAACAATAATTATTACATTTCAATTACTTTTTCAAATTGTTAAAATCATACATATTAATCTATTTATTCGATATTTGATAATTCCAATTACAAAATTTGATTTTATAATTTATTATAAATATTATTGCTTAAAATGATAATTCTATTGATATATTGTATTTATAATAATATTAAGTTCTTTTTTATTCATTTACATTACAAACAATATTTATCTATTAATCTATTAAAATAAAAATTCATTATATACAAATATATTTTTATAAAAACAATATATACGGTATACAATATATTTTTTAAAAACCTTTGTTTAATTAACTATAAATAAAATAATTTTTATTAT